TTCAGTAATAGTAATAAATCACACAGCAATAGTACATTCACGTTGTTGTAAAAAGCATGATAATATATTAAGTAATCCAAAGTATTCAGAATACGTTACTGTCATTGAGTAACATAAAGGAATACTTTACAGAATACATTTTGGGGCATGTATTCTGTATTCTGTAATGGAATACATTTTAAAAGTAACCTTCCCAACACTGACAATAAAGCAATACAATGCATTCCCAATGGGGCCTCAACCTACAGCTTCTTTTATTATCATTTACTTCATTCTTTTTCTTTCATTAATCAGACAAAACGCAAAATAATGAATTAACAATTGGAGAAATGTTTTGCAAAAAAAAACCACGGAACTGAGGGATTGAACCAGTGTTATCAGTGTGTTGTGTTACAGACTTTGTTTGTAGCAGCCTGTTGCAAGAACATAAAATGTGATGTAATACACGGTGGAGGCTGTGTCATGGTTTGTGGCTGCGGTGAAATCAGAGGTGTTGAAGATCTTGTCAATAATGATGGAATTATGAATGCAAAAAAATACTTTCAGCTCGTGATTCACCATGCAAAACAATCCTGAAAAAGTTCCGAATATCAAGAACTGAGGAGTGGCTCAAGTTTTAATACATAAAAGTTGTTTCTGCTTGACTTCTATCTGTACATACCAGATATAAATGTACAATATGCAGCAATATTAAAAAATATACAACACTGCTCTGTTACACTTCTGGTAGACCAACGTGAAAGATCATCCTATTGTAGAATTGTATTCTTGCCTATTTTTAATCTCAGCTTTAGAGAAATGTATTTGGCTTGAATCTGACCCCGATGTGAGCAAACCTCTGTTATCTGTGTGTGTGTGCGTGTGTGTAAGTGCATGTGAATGTGTTTGTGAGCAGGTGTGTTTAGATTTATGGCGAGCATATGGTGCAGTTCAGTAAAACCCATAAATCATCTTCATCCCCTCCTTCACCTCCCAGGGATCTCAGGTCTTAGGTTCCATTCTCACAGAGTGTTCGCCACTACTGTTTGTACATGCACACGCTGATGCACACGCACACACACACACGCACGCACGCACACACACACACACACACACACACACACACACACACACACACACACAGGTTTTATCATATCATGTAACTGAAGGTCCTGACTTTAATATCTAGATCAAATAACACCATTAGTCTTGAATAATACAGCATAAACTGTTATTTCATTTATCTTATTTAAGTGTATCTTAAGAACCTTTTTAAAACCTCCAGGTTAGAAGTAACAATACATACTTTAACTTTTTCCCACTTATAATGCTTGATTTTTTTTTATATTCACATAAAAAGCCGGTTATATAAACAATATTTTCAATACTATTACCGTTTCCAGGAATATAAAAATGAAAATCCAGGCTTAGTTATTCATTGATTTTGATGTAAAATCAAACAATGATAAGTTGTATTTTTAATATGTTCTGTGCTTCCCGAGCAGATGTACCTTTTAAAAAACATTACAGCAGCTTATGCTTGGACAGGATGTTATAGTAGTCGCAGCCTTTGTCGTGCCTCTGCCCCAGTTAAGTCAGTGAGCATGCTCAGATAAGGATTAGCGATGCATTGGCAAGAGGCTCTGATCCAATGAGCCCGTTGCCTATTGGTCAGCTGGACAGATGGGTGTTTGGTGAGTGGGGAGGGCTGGTGGGAGAAACCAAAATCCCCAAACCCTGTCGTACATCTACCTATCCAGACGCATGACCCCTCGTGACCCATGACTTCATCGTTTATCCAAAACCAGATACTCTGGGCTGAAAAAGAGCCATACAAGCATAAACTGTCACATGCCGAACCGCACATGCAGATGACCATGTGTGCACACACACACTGATGATGCATTACTCTCCTGAATAACTTGCATTTTTTGAAAAGATTGAACTTGGCCTTGGTCTCGGAGAGATTGGATCATGTCTGGAAAATCATGTGACATATTAATAACATCCATGCGCTCTGCCACCGTCAGGTGTTCGGGCAAAATGTTAACCGCCTATGAATCCCAATGTATTCATTAGTGTGACTCTAAATCAATGTTTAACACTCCGGTAATAAATGATGAGAATGCTAAGACTGACAGGTGGCATTAAAAATTATTGTTATACTTTTTTCCCGGGCTACATTAATTGAAGTGACAAATGATCTCATTACATGCAAATGCATAAAAATGCCAGTGCGCGCCAGCAGACACTACATGCTCGTTTCAGCACGCGCGCTGAGGCGAGGTGTGTGCATGGAAGAGTGTGTCATGGGACAGTTAGTGAGTCCATTTGCGCAGACAGACAGGCACATATTAAGGGATTTAAAAATGAATCAGCTTAGACTGCCAATGCATTATGTGTGAGAGTGGTGGCACTGTTGCATGGCTGGAAATGATACAAAGACTTATTTTTTTATTTTTAACCCTTTTTCTTTATATACAGAGTCTATTACATTCCACAGCTCTGTTTCTGGGGTCGGAAAATCACATTTCAGCTCTCTAAACCCCCCATTATTTCAATACAAGTGAAGGTAGGCGCCATAGTGTGAGACTCACTTAATGTAGTTTAGTTTCGATTGCAGTAGAGTGATATTAGGATTGATAGCTATGAGTGCGATGGTTAAAATGCCTTCCTTTACATCTGATTCAGAGTTTTCAAAACCCTCATACTCAAAATCCACTGCTAGCCCGAGTTTAAAACCTACCAGATTCCTCTTCTCCATTCCTTTCCCGGTTCTGCTTTCAAACCTCTCTGTGGAGCTGGACAGCCTACTGTCCTTCCAGAAATAGATTTGTTACATTGTTGTAGAATGTAGAATGAGTTTTATGATGTACTTTTCACCAAACATCTTACAAAGAAGCTTTGATCTTGTTCTCATCATACAGGAAGTTTAAAGTATCTGACTGTTCTGGATCTGTAAGGGGAATAATCCTGCATAATTTCCTGTATTTACATGTATTACATTCTACAAACACACAATAAGCCCAGAGACAGACTGGTGACCTGTCCAGGGGTGTATCCGCCTCTTGCCCCGTGGTAGCTGGGATAGGCTCCAATCCCCACCCACCCCCCACATGACCCTGAACTGGATAAGCGGAGAAAATGAATGGATGGATGGATGGCTCAATGGAAACATACACAATATATGTCTTAATTAAATTATTATAAATAAACCAACTGCAAAATAAATATATTAACGATGCAATAAAGTGAAGTGTAGAGGAACCGCGCAGCTAGTATTACAACTCAGTTATTCTCTCTCATTAACTGCTTACTGATGATTCACTTAAGTGGAAAATAGCATGACGATCAGCCCGGACATTTCTGCGGTTTCAATGCAGTTTCGTATAATTAGATTATGTGGCAATCTGGTGCACCTCTGTGCAGCTGTGTTACATTTATAGTGATCCAGCAACTGATTTGTAGCTGTTTTGAAGGTGAGAGATAAGCGTTGCCATTATTTGTCATTGTTTTTGTCTGACGACAAAGCTGAGTGTGTGCAAACACATACGGACACATCCATGTAAGTGCAAAGAAAACGGCGTAATACACTTTGACAAACACTGTGTGATTTCATTTTACAACCGCATTAACAATAGTCACACCTTTTAGCAGTCACAGCGTTTTCCAGAAAGGACACAATTTCCAGCACAGAAAGGGTTTGTGGAACAGCTTTTTGAGTTTAGCCTGTCTCAGCAGTGTGAAATCGCACTTTCATTGCGGGTTCTCACTTCCGTTCGTGTGTGAACGTGCGCATACTTGTGTGTGAGTGTGTGTGCGCGTATATGTGCTCATTTGAAGGGAAAAAAAGGGGGGGAGCGCTAGGCTTTCTTTGGATAAACAATCTGAGGCAGCATCTCTTATGCTAATGCCATAGCCTGCACATTCCTCATTGCATTTACATTCTCCGTCCTCATGCAACTGATGCAACAGACAGCAGAGCTCCACCAGCAGAAACCCGAGTTACAGAGAGCTCAGCCCCGCTAACACACAATGTGTTACCCACCAGCGCTGCGCCTAAGCCTCTACTGATACCCACGGGAGAATCTGACACACTTCATATTACAACAAAGGTTCACCCTCCATCACCATCCTCTCTGCCAGAGCAGCGCAGAGTTCCCCTGACACCAGAGGAGTTTACGCCTTCAGAAACAATCCCCGAACACTTGCATCTGTCGCATCTAGTCCTGAAGAACTCTGCACATGGCTCAGCGGTCGATCAACATCATCGCCACCACCGACAAAAGATCACAGAGGAGCCCGATGTCCATCTGCTGACACACCATCACACGAGCTGTGTTAAAACTGGGGATAAATGCTCAGAGCTAAGGCACAGTAAGACATAGATAGCAGTAGATACAGAGTAGAATGGAGGCCCACAGAAATGAGAGTAATCTAATTTAGAATGAGATCGTTTTACAGCCAGCGTGATGGGGTTTACAGGGTGTCAAAGTCTTTTAAAATGGGCAATTTTCAGGCCTAACATGCTTTTATACACAAGCTACCATCACTTTTACGCTCACCATTATATCATATGTCTGAAGCCTTGCTCAGTTTAGGTGCTGACAGTGAAATCCACTTAATGTGGGTGAATGAGCGTGTGAGAAGCTACAGAAAGAAACAGAAAGTTGGATTAGTTCGGCCGACATCGTCTTTGCATCATTTAAAGTCACAGAGAGAACTGCAGAGCATCAGAGGATCGGAGACTGAGCCCAAATTTATGTGAACTCACTGCAGCACATTTTTCTTTAAAAAGACTGCCGGAAGCATTGTGCGTAGTGCCGAGATGAAAACGATCCCGTGTCGTTTGGGGTCATTTTCTGCTGGTTTTGGCACAGCGTCAACCTGCCGGTGAGGAAGCAAATGAAGAGCTCCATCACTGTCATGGTTTACTAAGCCCAACTGACTCTTACACATGCCCTTCTTTCAGTCAGCGCCGGAGCAAAGGGGGAACACCGAAGGCTCCGGCTGCCAGCGTCTCCTGTCAGATGGTTCGAGCTGAGCTGATTGAGATTAATGCCAAGAATGGTTCGGATCACTCCTACCCCCCCAAGGCAGCGCGGGTTACTGAGATTAAATGCGTTTATGCTCACCGCTGTGCTACATCAGCCAGTTGAAACAACTGTGATTCAGAATCCTGCTTTCCCACAAGAGAGTTCATCAGCCAGTGTGTGCGCTCTCTCTCACTCACTCACACAGCTGTGACAGATGTGAGGCCAGAGTAGGACATGAGTAGAGGTAGGCAGGGGTTACTATGATGAGATGTAATGATGGCGCAGTGCCAGTTGTGTGAAACGATCCTGGGTGCTCTGAGAACAGCTGCTGGCGTCCCGTCTCCCTGGAGGCCCTTGGGAGAGGGAGTGATGAAGAGGAGGAGCGATGTGGGTGGGAGATTGCCTGAAGGGGGATGCTCCGCAGGGGAGCGGGGGACGCTTGCAGGATGCCCCTCTCTCTGGGCAAGAACAACTGGAGACGTACATTGCTTGCATGAAAAACACCTCAAGGGGGGGAACACAGATGGAGGCATGCAGGAGAAATGTATTCTCTAGCGGTCTAGTGATCATTAGTCCCTCGATGACGCGCACGGTGTGGTCACATTATGGGATTGGCTATCTGTATTTTTAACCATCTCTGTGGTGGATTTTTTTTTTTAATTTTTAATTTATTGAACTGTGCCGCTCTGTGGTGCAGTTAACGGAAAAGGTGTAAGCTGGAGGTGGTTTGATCCACAAACTGAACTAGTTTTACATCTCTCTTCTCTAGCCCTAAGAACTTGAAGCAAAGGATTCTGGGTATGGCATAAAGCCCTCTGGGAAAGTGGAATATACAAAGGAAAATGCTCGAAAAAGGAAAAGCAGGAGCGAGTGACAATTATAAATGCAGCAAAAGTGGAATGTGTCTCTGGTATTGATTTGAGATGTTTTGTGTGACTGTGGCAACAGAGAGCACGTTAGATCTAAAAACCAAGGAAATCCACCCATAAGAAGAATTTGCTCCGATATCCATAGCGTCTCATGAATATTCATAGTTCTAGTTTAATATGATAAAAAGACAACAAGAGCAGAGGTGGATCATCCTCCTCCATTATGCGAGGGAACAAAGTGAACGAGTGCAAAAGCAGTCAGAACATTTCATGACATTCAGATAAAAGGAAGTGCATGTCATTTCTTTCACACCCAGAGTGAAAATGTAGTGATGAAGGAGTTTCTCAAGCCTCTCTGACTCTCACAGCTTTTTCCCAAGCCCAGGGCTGAGGCCCCTGATGGGCCAATCCGCTATCTGACAGAGAGAAAGGCAGAGAAGAGGAAAACAAGGTCTCGGAGGAAGAGGGGAAAGCAGGCAGACGATATCAGAAATCTTTACCCACTGCAGTATCAGCCTAATTATAAAGCTCTTATTGTTCAGGTTGTCGAGGATAGGTGCTTGTAAAATAGCTTAACAAGAATGGGCATCCTGTGAGGTAACTGTGTTTGCGGCGTGCCAGTCTCCCACAAGTCTTTCCATGAGACACAAAGCAACAACGTCCTCTGAGCATGGGCAGAAAAGGGAGGAAGAGGAGGAGGAAACAGAGAGAATATTTGAAAAGACGGGTATTTCTTTAACTAAGTGGAGTAAATTACTCGATTTCTTTGAGTGTTCGGTTTTGTGATGGAAATGTGACAGCTCATGATTCTTAACTGAAGCAGAAATATATCTAAATGTCGCTTCTCGCTGACAGGCTGTCATTAAGCTTATCCAATATGTTGGCTCCAGTACATTTATTTGGTTTTAGGCTTAAAAAGAATCACAATTTAAACCCAAATGCATTATGCAATTAAACAGATTAACTAGCGCTAGCTTAAATTTGCTCAAAGAATTCAAATACTGTAATGTACTTTCGAGTTATATAAATAAAACTGAATTTAATTGAACATGTTTGTTACATTATGTTTAGATTTAGGTTGCATTTGATTTAATATAGAAGGCTGATTCAATAAAAAGTGTTGTAGGTAGGTTTCTGACGATTATTGTGTGAAACTCTTTCAATCAGCTAAAAAATACCTGCGCACCAGCATAGATGACAGGTGCATTGGCGGAAAACTTCTGCAACATGTTAATTAAAACTCGGTAGGAAGTCACTTTATGAACAAGTTGGTAATTATTTGTACTACTTAATATTTGTATTTCGTCTTCATCGGTTTATATATTTGAATATGTGGGAAAAAACTGTGTAAATTTGTGAAAGATCTTTGCCATGGTGTTGTTGCTAATGAGTATAGGCTATTTTGGTGATATTTTCTGTGCAGGCAAGAAAAGGGTTGGATAGATGTTATATAGCTTCAGTCTAATGCTTTGGGTTTTTTTTAAATAATATTCTGATTAATGGCACATACATGTGAAATGTGCTAATCACACTTTAAGTTCTGACTGGATGATTGAAACATTTCAGGAGGGTGTGTGTGTGTGTGTGTGTGTGTGTGTGTGTGTGTGTGTGTGTGTGTGTTAGTGAAAGTATGGACATTAACTATATACCTGATAAAGGTCAACCAGCCAAAAACCTTGTGTATGGTAGTTATATTTAAATTATAGAAGAAAGTCTTTAAAATGAACATTTAGGTAGCTTTGTTGGATTTCTCAAAAGTGAAATATAGATTAGGTTTCACAGATTGATAAGATAAGACTGTGTTTTTATTAGGTCCTGTGGACTTAATCCCATTGGAAAAGTAAATGAAAACTAACTCAGGCTGATTTTACACTGGGACAGTACAAAAGATGGACATAGTTAGGAAGACGTCACTCTATTTATTTGTGTCCCGTTTTGAAGATTTTTCTTGTGGTCGATAACTTGACGTTTTGACGTTTGTTGGCTTGACTTTCCAGACCAGAAAGCTATATTTCCTTTTACATAATCTGTAACCCAACCGGTAATCCAACCAACCAAATCCAGAAGATTACTTTTAAGTTCATCAAGTGGAATTAAATGAGGGCAATCAGATGCCTTCATTTCTTCTTTTAGTTCTTTCATCTTTTAAGAGGCAACAGAGAAACAGGCTGAATCAAGATGTGACTCTTTATGTATGTTAATTTGATAATTTGGAATAGATCAAATTAATAACTACATCTTGCATTGTTGCTTTTTCTGCAAATGAATATTTTGGATTATGTCAGAAACCCACAAGTCAGAGGAACAGCTGCATGAGACTCATGGCCACAAAGCTACATCTTTGTTTGAGCATGGGGAGAAAACGGAGGAGCATTCAGGAGGAGAAACGGAAAGAAAAGGTATCCCTTGTGTATGAAGTGTAGCGACTGTAGTTAGTGGCTCAGTGTAGTTAGTGGTGTGCATGGTAAGTAGATTGCACTTTGTAACTTAAAGCAAAAAACAAAAACTGTAAACAGTAGAACTGTATTTAAATTTTTGTTTCTTATGTTAATCGTGGTTGTGATGTGTTAAGTCTCCCATGAGTCTGAAAAACATTCACCTGAGATTCGTGGCCACAAAACTACTTCCTTGTCTGAACACGGAGCAGGAAGGGAGGAGGAAGATGAGGAAGAAGAAAGAAAATCCAAAGAGACAGGTATCTAGTGGTGGAAAGTACGAAAATCTACAGCATATGTAGATTTATGTACCTTACTTTACTTGTTGTGCAGATGTGCTGTAGACTTAAATGAAACTTGGCGATCCCTAGGTCCCCTAATACATTGGAAACGACAGAGTATTTATCATAAATTCTCCTCATTATTTCAATCACAGCTGTGGCGTTTCAGACCACCACCAGTCTTAGGGACACATACATGACAACCAGAGCTGTAGTTAAAGTGTATAATAGTAGTAGTGTTCGCCATGTGTTACACATCTTCCCGTTAAGTTGATAAAAATATGTGGTGTTTCAGTCTCTCACAAGTCTGAGGAGCTCGTACAGGAAACTCACGGACACGCATCCACAACCCAATCTCAGCACGGGGAAGAGAAGCATGCAGAAAGCAAAGGTACTGCGTTTTGTGCACAGTGGTCCAGATGATGTCATAGTGTTCACAATTCGATTTGGAGATCATAAACAGAAGACTTTTAGCTTCTTTTAAGCAACTTTTACAGTTAAATACTAACATGTTATAGAGGCTTTTGAGGGACGTTTTGTGAATAAAAGCTGTGGTATAACAGTTTCCCACGCATTTGAGGAACACGACGCTCATGGCCACAAAACAACAGCCTCATCTGAGCACGGTGAAAATTCACATGAGGTGGTGCATCAAGAACGAGGAGAAGAACGGAAAGGTGACAGTTCTATATGCACTGTAGTGGCAACTCTGTAGCTAATTGTAGTAAACTTGTAGTGTCCTGACTCAAAACCGCAGAGATGCATTTTTATTTTTATATTTAAACACACATTCATGACTGTCTTGTGACAGTTTCCCACATGTTTGACGGGCACACACGTGAGACTCACGGCCACAAAACAACAACCTCACCTGAGCATGGCGACGGGCATGAAGAAAGAAAAGCTGAAGGGAAAGGTATACAAATGCACTCTTCCTGCTCATGCTAAACAAATGCACTGTAGAATTATATAGCAGTGGGCATAGGCGAGTAAGGAAATATGCAGGTGATAAATGAAAACATGATTTATTTACTACAGAAGCCAGACATGGAAATGTGTCTCACTTTTGGCTTGTTATGTCAGTGACAATTGTGGTGTTTCAGCTCCCCACAATTTTGTGGAACACGTACACGAGATTCACAGCCGCAAACCAACAACCTCATCTGAGCATGGGGTGGAAAGAAAGGAGGAGGAGAGTGAAAGTAAAGGTATTTTTAGAGCATAGTGGAGACAAAGTCTTTATAGATTTAACATGGGCTTTATTAATAAATAAAGCAGAAGAAATTAATGTTTGCCCAGTGAGATTTTTTTCTGGTTCTGACTGAAAATTGTGTCAGGAGAACACACACACGAGACTCATGGCCACAGGACAACCTCGCATGTGCATGGATGGAGACACGAGGAGAATAATGAAATACATCCTGAAACAACAGGTACTTTATCTTTTATGTTGTAGTGTCACGCGAAACACAGCACACAGAAGAAATACAACTTGTTAACAATAATGACTGTGTTGTGTCAGACCCCCACACATTGGAGGGGCATGTACATGGGGCCCACGGTCACACAACAACAACCTCATCTGAGCACAGACAGCAGGAGCATATGGAAAGAAAACCTGAAGGTAAAGGTATTGTTGAAATCTAGTAGTAGCAGGGGGTTTTTTACGATTTAATATAGCATTTTAGCTTAATTTTAGTACTAGTAGCAGTATTTGTATTTATTTATTATAGTTTTTATTATTCTGAAATCAAACCCAATAGCCCGATCAAGAATCGAAGCTGTTCTGAAGGTGACTTTTAACCACAAGTTAAAAGTCTCCTTCAGAATAAATATGGCAACTTGCTTTTTTCTTCTGTTCAAGGCAATTGTGGGTTGCCAGTTCCCGTTAGTATGTTGAGCTCCAATGTGGGACTCATGGTCATAAAACATCACATGGACATGGGGAGGAGGAGCATGTGGGAAGCAAAGCTGAAAGTCTCTCAGTTTAATACACAGTAGTAACAAGTTTCTTTTTAAAACTCAAAAACCTCCTAAAAATTGGGGCCTGGAAGGACTGTATTAAGAAAAATAATTTGAATTTAATGTCTCAGCAGTTAGATTGTGTATTGGTTCATTTAAGATATAGTGCTAAATTTTAAATATAACAGCATGAAAAAAATACAAAACAAACTAAATTGGCATTTTAGTTTCCCACCATAATGAGGAACACTTGCATGGGACTCGTGGCCACCAAACCGTATTTGAGCACAGGCATCAGGACAGGAGGTGTATCCACTTTACAGTATATTTAGTGGGAACATGCAGGAAGCAATACTGAAAGGACTGGCATTTGGAACTGGGAGGATCATATTCAGAACAATAATTTCAATTTGATGTTTCAGCAGCTGGATTCACAGCAATTAGGTTAAGATAGCTATTCTCCTGAATTTAATATGAATTTATTATACATATTATATACATTATACCAACGTATATTCAGATATAATATATTATCTGAATATTAGAAAAAAAACAACAGAAATGTTTCCTGATTATATAAATGTATTTTGTCAGGCCAACACAAGTCTGAGGAACACATACATGAGGCCCAGAGCCACAATATACCATCTGAGCACAGAACAGCTGAAATTACAGGTACCATATGAATAATCTTCTGCATTATATTTTTGCTAAACAATGGCTAGACTGTTCCCCCGACTTGAAATTCCCAGCTACTATTAATTATTGTGGTGTTTAAGCCTCCCACAACCCTGATGGACATGTGCATGGTGGATATGCAGAAGAAGCTCATGGCCATAGAGCATCTGAACATGGACATCACAAGCCTGAGGGACATGTGCATGGTGGACATGCAGAAGAAGCACATGGCCAAAGATCTGCATCTGAACATGGACATCACAAGCCTGGGGGACATGTAGAAGAAGCTCATGGCCATAGATCATCTGAACATGGACATCACAAGCCTGAGGGACATGTGCATGGTGGACATGTAGAAGAAGCTCA